TGACTGACTTTGAGATATATTTTATAGGATCAGGGTGACAAACAAGTACTCAGTCCACCTGATGGTAAGTGGTTGCTGTGGCACATAGACATATACATCTATCCTCGGTTAAGAATCAAAATGCAGATGCGTTGCAACCCCTGATGACTAAGATGGAATGCCTCGTTTCCAGTAAAAAGGGTCTCCGGTTATCTACACTCACCATAGGAAACACAGCAGCGTTAAGCTCCTATTTTACACAGGTATTCTGTGAGAGCGTGGTCCGTCCCCGGTCGAGCTGACCCATTCGTGCTACAACTATACCAGTAATATAGCTGCAGTATGGGTCTATCACGTATAAATTGAAAATTTCGAAGATGATCCCATAATAAAAAATATTCATGTTGACGGGCAGAATCCTTCCCTAAGTTATTAAGTCCTATTTTGTTACACCTTTAGTTAGTATATAAGACTGGGGAAAAAGTTTCTTCTTATATTGTATACAAATTCAAGACGTTTTTGTTTTAAAGTTTTTTGACATTTAATTATAATATATATATGGGTATATAGGTATGGGTAGTACATTATAAAAAATAAACGTTGCTGTAGAAATCTTGGGATTTTGATTAAAAAATGTGACAAATAGTTTTATTTGATATATTCAATACCAGAGATTTGAAGGAACATGGATTTAGTCATCCCATTTATAATGGAAAAAAAATTATAAACTTAAATATTAAAACCTCCAGAAAGCTTTCTTTTAAAGAACACGAGCAACAAATGAAAATAATGACTAAAACTTTTAAACCAGTTTTAAGTACTCAAGCAAATACTGGATTTTTAGGAATGTTAGTGTGTATTGAAAGTCTCAAACAGATAACTAATCTTGTGATCTGGCGTTATCATAATGAAAGACTCCTTTTCTGATTATCAATGCCAGCCGTTTTTTTTTTCTATTTCTTGCTTGTCTTATTTATTTATTGATAGTAGAGATCAAAATCGATAGTTTTATCCGGCGGTAAAAGCTCAAGATAAACTTTCAATACCACCATACACACAGCATCATTTTATTGCGTGTCCAGTTTTCGCTTTAGTCTGTAAATAAAACACATATCAAAATGTAATTTTATGGGCCCATAATGATTTCTTATATTTACGCGAACACTACACATTGAATAAAACTACTTTTACGAATTTTATCGCGTTTAATTAAGTTATTTTATATTCCCGACGTTTCGGTTGCTTTCCAGCAACCGTGGTCACGGCGGTCTGAGGTGATTGACGTCGCGATGTCAAAGTTAACCCGGAGTAATTAAATATAAAAAGAATAATGAAAAAGCTGAAGGTACTCCGAGTTTATAAAATACAGCCTACTGACAGACAGACGGAACGATAGTGGAGACTTGGATCACGTTGATACTCTTTGGGTACGGAACCTTAATAAATGCCAATTATGTCATTTTAAAAATACTACAGAAATAAACATTAAATAATATAGAATTAGGTTATATTATAATAAGTTTAATATATTATATTATAAAATATAGTAACAATAAATTCACAAATAATAATCTCAGCCACGGGGAACTTTATTTTTGCATTCGCGCCAACACTGAATAGCGTCATTGATATTTTGTGACTTATTTATGGCTCGTGTTATTTTATGTTAAAATTTCGAAATTGTATGATACTTAATGATAGTATGTGATTCAAGTGTCTTTATTATTTCTTGTAGTATTATTTTACACAGTTTCAATACGTAAACTGGTATTTTATTTCGGATTATGATCAAAATTTAATAAAACATTCGGTACGTTCACATCAGACGTTGCCTGCAGCGCGACTGGCTCGGGTACGCCGATTTCGGCGTAGTATTTGTTGCCGCATTTTACACGAGCGCCTGCGGTGTCTGGACAGAGCGCGCGATGACTTATCATTAATCTATGGCGCCGTGTTATCTCATAGGGAAAAGCTAGATAGCATACGATGCAAAGTATTATAAAGTCACTATCATTTTGGTAAATGAAGTTAGCGTCGTGTGTGGTGAGCACCAACCAACGCTTCGGAACTGGACTGTAATCCACAGCAAAATAACTGGCAAACCAGTAAAAGAGGGCTTGGCTCCTTGGTAGAGCGTAAGCACAAATGTCGACCGAAGTCGCGCATGTCAATGCGTGTAAACGCCGTATAGAATACGATCAAATCTAGCCACAGTGAAAGTACGTCACACGGATTAGGCAACAAAAGGCACACTGGCCATTAAAAGCTCTCCGTGAGCGCTACCACCTGCCAGACCACCGTTCCTGCAGACATGATGTAAGTGTAGGGCATCACCAGCAATTGAATGATCAGCACGGCTAATTAGCCATAGAGCGTGTCATGACTCTACCGCTCCCCTCAAGGGAATGGGGTCCCACGTTGCGCGGCTTTCAGCCGCAGCCTTGAGAGCCTTCTCAGATTCTCCCTCCAGCTACCACTCACATGAGGTCGACACAACATATACTCCACCAACCAATACAATGGCAGATAAAGCCAAAAGGCAGTTATAAGATAATAAATAGTAAATGCCTGCTGATAAAGGATACAAGAAAAAGAACATATCCCAATGTGTCTAATGCTGCGGTTTTGGTGGCCCTTTTGTCACCCCAGCCGCGAACTATCGCTGATATGTAGTAAAAAATACGAAAGTTTCTTTATAGACACTTTCGCATTTTTGATAATGCTGACAGAATGATCTTTCTATTTGGGTCAACCGTTTCCAAAGGGCGAACTTTTAACCAGCCAACTCTTTAAACTTTGAATGTTGAACGGCCTTGGAATCCGATTTAGTGTCGGTTTCTAATTATTCCCTTCTGGCAACGATACTAATATGAGCTTATTATAAAACAAAATAAAGAACAAAGGATCGTAGTGCACAAATATGATATAGTGAGTATAGTTGTATTAAAATTTTCTCAACTTATCGTCTTTATTAGGATAAGGGTGACACGCGAGCACACAATCATTCCGATGCAGAGTAGATGTAACAACTATCCTCTATTAAAAATCTGAATGCAATTGCATTATTGCCTCTTAGGACTAAAATGGAATGTCTCCTTTCCAGTAAACAAGGTTTTCAGTTCTCTACACTCTCCACACAAAAGACAGCGGTTAATTCACGACTGCTACTGTTTCACGACAGTATTGTGTGAGAGCGTAGTTCCGCCTCTGTCGTGCTGACCCACGGGAGGGACTGTCCCCTCCGAGACCATGGGTGCTGAAAAGTACCCGAAACGTCGGGAATGAATAAAATAAGTAAAATAAGTTTATTAAACGCGATAAAATCCGTAAAAGTAGTTTTATTAAAAACGCAATATAATCTAAAAAACGGTTTTATTCAATGTGTAGTATAAGTGTAAATAAAAAAATTATTACATATTAGTTGATACAACTTAAAACTACATGATTGCACATTCTGGTAGAATATTCCATTAGTCATTAAGTCAGCTTAGTGTATGCATCAGTTAAATTTGATTGTAATAAAGGATGTATAAATAATGTATCTATAATAGCGATCGCGATATTCTGTCTACTGGCAAAGATTGCAATAATTTTACTTTATGACGTAATTATTATAAACTTAGTAAAATTTTGCTGACTATCAGAAAAAAAAACCTTAAAACTTTCTCCGTTAAAAATGTAAAAGTATGTACTCGTAATATGAACATATATTTTATATCGAGCTAAGAAAAACTTAAAATATTATGTGAATATTACAAACATTCACGTTCATTTACCAATTTTCAATGACTTAAATAATTTATATGACACCTTGTGTTACTAGTTAGTAAGTAATAGTTACAGCCTATTTACGTCTGACTGCTGGGCACAGGCCTCCTCTCATTTCTGAAAGGGTTTTAGAGTAAGGAAATGTCCACCGCGCTGCCCCAATGCGTGATGGCGAACTTCACATGTCTTCGAAATATATTTTTTCTTATTTCTCAGACATGCAGGTTTCCTCACGATGTTTTCCTTCACCGCCGAGCACTTGGTAAATCAGCACTTAAAATTGCAATTAACAATTTCATTGGTGCCGGCGGGGATCGAACCCGGGTTGCTCGAGTACTGTGAAGCTTACAGCGAGCGCTGACCATCTGAGCTACCACGGCTCGTGGTACTATCACAATAAAATTTATTCAGATAAGATATCAGTGCAGAAAAGGAATACTTGTTACAATATTTTAATTGCTTTCACGATTGTGTGTTGCTTGTGAGCTCAGGTGCTTACATGAACAGTAGTACAATTTATTTTCAATAGACCCAACGCATGTTAAATGTTAATGAAGAAATCGGAATATCGGAATCGGATTTATATGCAGCTGTGGTACCTTAATGGCTCAGTGATCGCCGTGACATATATAGTACGCGAGCAACCTGGGTTCGATTCCCGTTGGCACCAATGAAAATATTAATTACAATTTTAACTGATTTCCACGCAAAATTGGAACAGAAGTAAGAAAATGTTGTATATTGGAAGAAGGATTTTCCTCTGTGAATAGTTATATTGGAAATTTTGAAATTCGATGGCTGCGAACGTTTTTGAACCATGTGTTGTGGCGTTACATCCTACCTTTGGGGAAAGGCATCCTCTCATTTCTAAGATGGTTAGGCAAGGCGAAATTCACATATCTTCGACATATTTTTTAGTATAATCTCAGACATATACGTCATAAATCATTAGTTACAATTGCAATCAATTATATCATTTATGATGTCAGAATCGAACCCGGCCTTCTCGAGTACTTTGAAATTTACAGCGTGCGCTTAGCTCTTGAGAAAGCACGGTTCAGTTCCTTGATGATGATTCCTTAAATTGATGGTTGACTTGGCAATATATTGTCAATGTAACTGCTGGTTTTTGGTAACTTCAAGAAACGAGATTACTCCTTTCTAAAAGGCTGCCAACGCACCTGCAATTCCATGGTGTTGCAGTGTTTCACGGGCGGCGGTCAACACCAACCATTAGGTGAGCCGCATGCTCGTTGCCCTATTCTATTAAAAAAACTTTGTCAACAATATGTTACTTAAAACTTATCTTGACTGTAATGAAAAAAACCACTTACATAATTTTAAATGTACTGACTTGCATCGTCAATAGTACATAGTTCAATTTGTTAGAATCAGTTGCTAGGTAAAAAAAATATTTTTATAAATATATTTATTTTAAATTTGCTTACATCAATTTCAATCGATTTTGATTTTCTTCATAAGTTTGTAGCTGATGAAGTTTACCAGGACTACCATTAGATACTAGAGCCAGTATTATTACATGATACGAGTCATTCCGTCGGAATCTCCAGAATTGAACACGCAGCTGTTGCCTTTTTATTTGAGATTAATTGCAGGTGTCCATGACAATCAGGTGTACTGTAAGTTCGTTTGTCATTTCAATTTTATAAAAAAACACTGTCAGAATAAGACAATACTTTACAGATATGATGAGAGATTTATTATTTTGTACTTTCCCTCTCAATACAACAGTATACAAACATTGTAGAGATACCACTTACATGATCACAGTGCACCTGAGCATGGAAATAATAGCACTTAATTTTAATTGAACCTTAGGACTTAGGACCTTGATAGGTGAACACGCTCTCTCAGATGCCCGCGAAATATACCAGCTAATAATGCCGCTGCTTTTTTTACACAACTGAAGTGACAAACAAATATCACTCCCAGTCGGTAAGTGGCTACTGTAGTCCATAGAGACTTACAGCTAACTTCAAATAAGAAGGCTACTGATGCGTTGTCACCTTTGAGCTCGAAGATAAAATGCCTCACAGCGTATAATTATACTGAATTTTTATATCCTTGACACCGGAACAAACCAATGCAGGCACTGATATTCTGCGACAGAAAAAGGTAAATGTGTGTTACCCGACGGACTCCAAGCAGAAAAGAAGTCCTACCGCCTAATAAAAAAAGAAGACCTTATAAAGTCACCTTGTCTTTCTTTTTTTAAAAAACGTTACCTCCACACTAGGACTTTCTCCTGTGTCGTGGAGGCAGTTTTCAAACATAAATCGCACGAGGATAAACATCCATTCTCGGAACAGTTATTTGTAGGCCATACAAATACTTGTTCCGTGCGGGATTCGAACCCGCGACCCCCAGCGTAACAACTCATTGCTAAGCCACTGCGCCACGGAGCCGTCTAAAAAGTAAAGTAAAGTCAGAGAAAGGAATAGGAGACCATTTTTAATTTGTAAAGGAGACATTTTTCATTTTAGGATTCAGAGGTGACCCTTCTGCATTTTCCCGCCGGGCAAGGTGTTCTGCCCGGGGAGCGGCCAACGCTCCAAGTTGTAGTTCGGAGCTATTCTTTATATACCGCTTTTACTTCGGAATTTTGTTAGCGCGATTTAGTCTTCGATGTGTTTTTGCTTGTGGCGCGACAAATCGCCACCACAAACATTTTATTTAGTATAGATGTAGGTTTCTTTGGGATACAGCATTCGTTTATTACAAAGTAAGATGATAAACTGGGAAACATTTAATATTTTTGTTGTCATTTTCACATTAATTTAATAGCTCTAAAGTCTTGCTTTCATTCTTTGACACTAAGTCTTAGCACCTAATTCAGAAGCTATTACATTATGTAAAAATTGTTTTATTATATTAGCTTTTTAAAAGCAGGTGTGTGCTTTTTTACGAAATCAATTATCTGACCTTTATTATATGTGGAAGCTATATCACATGCTCAATATAACAACTAGAATGTCATGTAAATAGTCACTTCAAATATTGCATCCCTTATTACTTCTACCTTTTGGGGAAACTTTTCATCTAAATTTACATAGAGCCAACCCTGAAGTATAACCTACTTATGAAAGTCTCTTGGTAGAGGGTCTCTTGTCTCTTCTATGAGGATTTCAGGGCAAGGAAGTGTCTGCCCCGCGTTTCCCCAATGCGTGTTGGCGGACTTTACATGCTTTAGAAATACATTTTATTTTTTTATTTCTAAGAAGGTTTTCTAACAATGTTTTTATTTACCCCTGAGCAAGGTATTGAATTAAAGAAAAAACATTGAATTAAAATTAACAATTTCATTAGTGCCGGTGGAGATTGAACCCCGGTTTCACGCGTACTCTAAAACTTACAGCGAGCGCTAAGCTCCTAAATCATTAAATTATGTTTACAATTGTCGACGATATCGCGTAATACATGAAAACATGCACTCGAATAATTCAGAACCTCTTTCTTTTTAAATCGACTAGGTGCAAGGTAATTAAATAATTTAAATTATTTTTCAACTACACAAAATAATAATTCATTGAAATACCATCGAAAATTCTTTATATTTATCAAATTCAACACAAAAGCAGTGTTATTTCTCACTAATGTGCCAGTTATAGAAATAAAGAAGAGAACACATGTAAAAGTGTTGATTTTGAAGTGTTAATTGCTGTGAATACGTGCGCTTTTAATTGGGAGACTATTTCCGGTAGCTGTCGTTTTGCCTGCAATTTATCGAGCGAGTTGCAGAAACATGGCTTATACGAGTAGATAATAATATCTAATTACGAAAAGATTTTACTTTTACTATTTATTTATTTTACTACTATTTACTATTTGACGAGCTCATAGTGCACCTGATGGTAAGTTGATGCTGTGAATTACGAATCAAAATACGTGTTTGTGCCAGTCAGCACGCATAGACTGCTTGCTGCAGATCCATATATATTAAAAATAGTATAATATATACTATGTAATACGTATTTCACTTTCATGAAAAGAGACCACGCGCGGAGTTTCTTTTGCCGTTTCTTCTCCCGTCTCAGTTTCTCCTACCCTCTACGTATATTATGTTTAGGGCCACGCCAACGATTATTATAGAGAAAGCTGAGGACTAGGGTAGAACACCACATAACCAGTAAAATGCTAAAGTGACAATAGATACGTTTAGCTCCAACCGGTAGCCGTTGAGTCAAGACAATATTCGATTGGAAACCATTGAAAGGAATAAGCTCGAGAACCTCATTGTTGTAAGTGTTTACAGACCCCGATGTGCTACTTATGACTATTTTGAAAGGATTGTACATTGTACTCCTCGGACTTCTGTACAACTTGCCGAAGGGTATGTATGTGGTCCATGGTGCTAAAGCCCTTTCGGAAACCGGCTTGTTCGGGAAGCTGGAAGTCGTCAAGTCTGCGTGCGAAACGATTCGTAATGACACTCGAAAACAGCACGTAGACGCGGCTCAGAAGGTAAATCAGTCTGTAGTTCTTCAACAGAGCGTTGTCACTTTTCGTGAAGAACAAGACCACCGCGCTTCTGCTCCACGCCTCCGGTATAATGCCACCATGGAGGACGAAATTAAAGAATTTCTGAAGGACTTCAAGTACCGGTCTTCCACCAGCTTTTAGAAGCTCCGCTGTAATTCCATCCTCGCCTAGGGCCTTGCGGTTTTTAATGTGCTGGAGAGCCATTTTGATCTTGCTGAGACTGACGTCTGGGATATCTTCGGAATAAGACTCGCTCTTGGATTGTTACTCACACTTGCGTGTGGCTCCAACGATGACGTGTACAGCTGCCCATAGAACCCCTCAATCTCATTCAAAATCTCAAGTGCCCCGGAAACGATGCTGCCACACTCTGCCTTCAGCTTTGACAGTTGGCTCTTTCTGGTAGACAGATCTCTGGCAAAGACTTTGGAGCCTTCGTTTCGTTCGATCGCTTCTTCAATACGAGCTGTATTGAAGTTCCGTAAGTCCCGCCGCATGCATTTGGAGATCTGTCTGTTCAATTGCCTGTATGTTGTCAAATCTGTTGAAGAATGTAGCTTCATCTCCCGTCTAACAGTCATGAGATTGAGAGTGTGATCGGATCGTTTTTGTGTTCTTCTGCGGCGGGTCTTGCAGAACTTAGCTCCGACTGCATGGACAGTTTCCACGCTTGTGCGAGCGAAAAGACTGCAATGAAGTGGACAATATGAATATATCGCCTATTTCCGGTAGCTGTCATTGCAGTCTTCGAGGCACTGAAAATGGTTTTGTAACTCACGAGGGGGGCGGAGCGTTGACTTCATTAGACGAGACCACTCCAACTTAATGTTTAGGTTCTGTGTGCCTCTAACCATTCGGTGATCGCTACCAGTTTTCACCCTCGCGATCACGGAGACATCACAGAACAGTTTTCGTCTGGTCATCATTATGAAGTCAATCTCATTTTTAGCGGAACCGTCGGGGCTCGACCAGGTCCACTTCCTGTGGGGCCGCTTCTGGAAGAAAGAGTTTATCATAAAGAATCCCTCTTTCTCCATAAAGTCGGCCAGTTGCTGGCCCCTTGAGTTCCGTTGCCCTATTCCATATTTTCCTACTTTCAGCTCACCGTTCTCTCTTGTGCCTAGTTTTGCATTGAAGTCTCCCATTAACACCGTATATTGGGTTTTGGAGGAATGCTTGGCTCTAGAGATATCCTCATACATTTCCTCCACCTCCTCATCTGGGTGTGCCGAGTTTATAATACCGTTTGGTGATTCTGAAGATCATCATCGAAGAAGTTGACCATACAAACTTTTTAGGTATAACAATAGACAAATTCTGTAATTGGAAGACACATATTGATAACCTATGTAGAAAATTGGATAGATTTGTCTTTGTTCTATATCGTTAAAGTCGAGTGGCTAACATAGAGGCATCACTTTCTGCCTATCATGGATATGTTTCTTCGATCCTACGTTACGGCTTAATAATTTGGGGTAATTCTGTCGATTTAATTAGAGCTTTTCGCGGGCAGAAAAAATGTATAAGGTCAATGTGTGGAGCACATCAATTAGATAGTTGCATTCCTCTTTTTCGCAAATATAAAATATTGCCACTTCCTGCATTATATATTTACGAAATTTGTGTCTTTGTTCATAAAAATAGAAATTTATTTGAAAAACAAAATGACGTTATAATTAGGACTAATAGAAACATACATAAGTTGTTAGTACCAAAGCAAAGAATATACAACTTTACTCAAAAAATGTATATTGCATGGCAATACATGTTTACAACAAATTGCCTGTTTGTTTCAAAAAAATGAACATAGGAATCTTTAAACGTAAATTATACCAATTTCTTTTAAATAAATGTTATTACACTATAAATGACTTCTTAAATGATAAATTTGACTTGAATTGTAATTATTGAAATTAATCTTGACTTAATTTATTGATATGTTTTAACTAAAAAAATATTATGAATTGATTGACATTTTTGTTTTTATATAGATGCTACTTAGTTTTCTTAAGTATAGCTGTAAGTATATTTATATTCTATAATAATTCTATAATAATGTCTTGGTATTCTCTTAAATTCTAACATAATCTGTCTGAAAATATTTGTACGCAGGAAACTGCAGAATATTTAGGATCTCAATTATTCTGTAACAACTTAAATGTACCATATTCTAACAAATAAATCATTCTTATCTTATCTTATCTTATCTGAGTATAAGGTACGCAACCCTCGTCAACACACTCCTAATCTTTACAACGTTGTTAACGA